AGTGATTCTCCGCCTCCCGAATTGCTGGGATTATAGGCGTGTGCCACCAAGCCCACCTACTTTTTGTATTTTTAGTAGAGATGGGTTTTCACAATGTTGGCCAGGCTGGTCTCAAACTCCTGACCTCGTGATCAGCCTGCCTCCGCCTCCCAAAGTGCTGGGACTACAGGTGTGAGCCACCACGCCTGGCCTACGAAAAGCTATTTCTATTTGAGGTCAAATATAAGAAAAGAACTGCTTCATGTGTGTGTGTGTGTGTGTTGTTTTTTTTTTTGAAGAGACAGGGTTTCACTACGTTAGTCAGGCTAGTCTCGAACTCCTGACCTCAGGCGATCCACTTGCTTGGCCTCCCAAAGTGCTAGGATTATAGGCATGAACCACCTCACCCAGCCAAGAACTGCTTAACAGCTCCCACTTAACAGTCCCACCCACACAACAACCCCTGCCCCTCTAAATAGTGACACTTGTTGGTCATAAGAGCCAACTTTTTTTTTTTTTTTTTTTTTTGAGACGGAGTTTCGCTGTTGTTATCCAGACTGGAGTGCAATGGCACGATCTCGGCTCACCGCAACCTCTGCCTTCTGGGTTCAAGCAATTCTCCTGCCTCAGCCTCCTGAGTAGCTGGGACTACAGGCGCGTACCACCATGCCCAGCTAATTTTTGTATTTTTAGTAGAGACGGGGTTTCACCTCGTTGACCAGGATGGTCTCGATCTCTTGACCTCGTGATCCGCCTGCCTCGGCCTCCCAAAGTGCTGGGATTATAGGCGTGAGTCACCACGCCCAGCCTAAGAGCCAACTTTCTAACTTCATAAAATCATGTCTCTTTCAGATCTTTACTATTACTAAAAGTCTACTGACAGACTTCTCATACCCTATAAACACCCAAAAATAACTCAGAGCCTACAGAACATACTGTAAGTTTATGTTCTTTAATATATTAGGAATAAATTATTTCACAAGTCTTTTAAATTTTCTTTTTTTTTTTGAGACAGAGTTTTACTCTTGTTACCCAGGCTGGAGTGCAATGGCACGATCTCAGCTCACCGAAACCTCTGCCTCCTGGGTTCAGGCAATTCTCCTGCCTCAGCCTCCTTAGTAGCTTGGATTACAGGCACGCGCCACCATGCCCAGTTAATTTTTTGTATTTTCAGTAGAGACGGGGTTTCACCATGTTGACCAGGATGGTCTCGCTCTCTTGACCTCGTGATCCACCCGCCTCGGCCTCCCAAAGTGCTGGGATTACAGGCTTGAGCCACTGCACTGGGCCCCAAGTCATTTAAATTTTCATAAGCAAATCAAAGACCACCCAAACAGCTCCTCCTATACTGTAGTAGGAGATATATTACTAAGCCAGGGTTTCAAAACCCTATAGACTTCAAAGAATGGGACATCCTGTATATGACAACACCCATATGAAACTCAATAGCCTTCCAAATCTGTCCCTGGCCATCACTAAAAAATATGTGGCATTTCCCTGGAATCTGACAAGATAGAAGCTCCAGATCTGAGGTAACAATATTCACTAGCCTCAGTTACCCTATATTATTTCATTTGCCTAAGTGTTTCCTTGCTTTGCTGAACCATAGAGAATACACCACATTCCCAAGAAAGGCAAAGTAATATACATTATTACAAGACTCCTCTAGAGGGAAAAACTTCCACCACCCTAATTCAAGAGACTTCATGAAAGGCACCTGCTACTAAAATCGGAGGCATAACTTATTCATCCAACAAATATTTACTAAAAACTCTGTGCAAGGCTATGTATATTCAATAGCAAACAAAACAGGAGTGGTTCCCATTCTTGCAGAATAAAGTTTAGTGAGACAGACTAATGTAAACAGATATATAATTACCAAAAAAGCTATGAATAGGGTAACCTTAGGTCCCAATTTGCCCAGGACACATTAATCTATACCTGTCATCCCAGTATAAAATAAAAGCATTCTCCTTTACTCTCGAAAATGTCCCAGGTTGGACTAAAAATTATGGTCACCTTAACTGTGAAGGACAAGGTACTATGAGAGAGAATAATGCTGGCAGATTACTTTAACCTCATTACTTTAGGTGATCAGAGAAGATTTCTTGGAAGACGTGCCATTTAACAAAGTCCTGATGGGTAAGGCTTTTTCGTTCCAGTCATTTTGGAAGGAAAAACGTTCCAAGTACGAGGGACAGCACAGGCTATGACAGAACTTGGGCGTTATTACTGTTCAACATCAATTTTGACCAAATAAACTGAATTGTCAAAAAAAAAAATGAGTTGGGGCCTGGCATAATAGTTCACATCTGTAATACCAGCACTTTGAGAGGCCGAGGTGGACAGATCACTTGAGGTCAGGAGTTTGAGACCAGGCTGGCCAGCATGGTGAAACCTGGTCTCTACCAATAATACAAAAATTGTGCCAGGCACAGTGGCTCACACCTATAATCCTAGCACTTTGGGAGGCCAAGGCAGGCAGACTGCTTGAGCTCAGGAGTTCAAGACCAGCCTGGGCAACAAAGTGAAACCCGGTTTCTACTAAAATGCAAAAAAATTAGCCAGGTGTGGTTGCATACGCCTGTAGTCCCAGCTACTTGAGAGGCCTGAGGCAGGAGAACCACTTGAACCCGGGAGGTGGAGATTGCAGTGAGCCAAGACTGTGCCACTGCACTCCAGCCTGTACAACAAGAGTGAAACTCCATCTCAAAAAAAAATTGGCCAGGTGTGGTGGCGCACACCTGTAGTTCCAGCTACTCCAGAGGCTGAGGCATGAGAATCACTTGAATCCAGGAGGTGGAGCCTGCAATGAGCTGAGATCCCACCACTGCACTACGACCTGGGCAACAGAGACAGACTCTGTCTCAAAAATAAATAAAGGCTGGGCACAGTGGCTCACACCTGTAATCTCAGCACTTTGGGACACTGAGGTGGGCGGATCGCCTGAGGTAGGGAGTTCAAGAACAGTCTGACCAACATGGAGAAACCCCATCTCTACTAAAAATACAACAGTAGCCAGGTGTGGTGGCTCATGCCTGTAATCCCAGCTACTTGGAAGGCTGAGGCAGGAGAGTCGCTTGAATCCGGGAGATGGAGGTTGTGGTGAGCTGAGACTATGCCACTGCACTCCAACCTGAGCAACAAGAGCAAGACTCTATCTAAAAAAAAAAAAAACTTGGGCAGGTATGGTGGTGCACGCCTGTAATCCCAGCTACTCAGAAGGCTGAGGCAAGAGGATCACTTGAGCCCAGGCATTCAAGTTCAACCTGGACTACAAAGCAAGGCCCTGTTCACACATACACAAAAGTGACTTGGGGATTCCCAGAGATCAATTTGTATGTGCAAGATTAAAATATGAAAGGCCGGGCGCAGTAGCTCAAGCTTGTAATCCCAGCACTTTGGGAGGCCGAGGCGGGTAGATCACGAGGTCAAGAGATCGAGACCATCCTGGTCAACATGGTGAAACCCTGTCTCTATTAAAAATACAAAAAATTAGCTGGGCATGGTGGCGTGTGCCTGTAATCCCAGCTACTCGGGAGGCTGAGGCAGGAGAATTGCCTGAACCCAGGAGGCGGAGGTTGCAGTGAGCCGAGATCGCGCCATTACACTCCAGCCTGGGTAACAAGAGCGAAACTCCGTCTCAAAAAAAAAAAAAAAAAAATATGCTAAGCATGTAATTGTTAGAACTCAAAATTCAAACATAAAGAGAAAAAAGAACCTTTAAAACAGTGGCTTTCAAACTTTTATAGGTCATGAATCCCTCTGAGAATCTAAAAAACATTTCGGATCTTCATACAGAAAACGCATATATTCACGTATGCACACATCCACATACACACAATTTGAGGACGTTCATAGGCAACGCCACCACCCAAACCCCACCATCACCAGAATTTCATCACGTACTCCAAGATTAAAACTTCAAGTTAAAAAAAAAAAGTCCTCTTTTATAAAGGCAAAAACAAGTTCTCAACTTCTTTGAAAGTTAAGCTTATTTCTTTTTTTTTTTTTGAGTTAAGCTTATTTTTTAAGATCTACTGACAATATCCATGAATAAAGAGAAAAACTAAACATGTATTTCTTAAAAAGATATCAGAGGAAGCAATTTTAAGTCAATTAAAAAAATGAAAAATAGACAACAATGTATCACCAAGAATCAATGAGACTCATCTTTCCCATGATTTTAGAGAGCCAGATTTGCCCTTGAGTCCTTACCTTACTAACATTGAGTGAAGCTAGGGGAGGAGGGGTTTCTGTTCGGTCATTAATTATTTCCACTTCTGAAACATACTGTAAGTTTATAAGCAAGATATCTGCATGGTTGGGCTTTCCACTGGAAGAGGGACATTCTGGTAAGAAAAAACAAGTTAAGGAAAAATAGGACAAGCAGAGGCACTGACACATCCCAAAAGGGATACAGAAAACACAATTCACACAAGGCTTTAAAAGGCATGCCAGAAGCAAGAGGGCCTTATAAGAATCACAGCTCTCCTCAGGAAATCCCTGCCTGTCACCTTCCTCCTGCCCAAACCCTTGGAAGCCTCCTAAGGAATTCTGTCATCTTCTGTCTACTGGCTTTATGGAGCAGATTTAATGCGTTTGTTTTGAACCTAGGAACCAGACAAAAGAGCTAGAGATTTCTGTTCTTCGTATAACACTCTCTATATCTGCACAGTATTTTTACTTTTTCAGATGTGAGCGTTCCCATTTTGCAGAGGAGAAATCTACAGCACTGGAAAGGAAATTCCCCTAAGGTGACCCAGCCAGTTAATCCCATCCATTCATTCACACACTCATTCCCTAACCATTTAAGCGCCCACTGCATGTCAGTTAAAAACTGAGTAATTCCTAGTTCCAAGACTCTTCCAACTAAACTACTAATGTAAAAGGTCTTATTTGTTCCAGGTGTAACCTCTTATTTTTTAAAAAAGCAACTATTCTTGCTGTAATTAGTTTCAAAGGACATCTTCCCAAGCTAGAAATCTACAAGCAATGGTTAAATGAATTAAAATACTTGCCACTCAAAGGCAGCAGACTCAGTAGGAAACTTCATTTTGAAAGATGCAATGGCAGGGCGCAGTGGCTCACGGCTGTCATCCCAGCTACTCAGGAGGCTGAGGCAAGAGAATCGCTTGAACCCGGGAGGCAGAAGTTGCGGTGAGCCAAGATGGCGCCATTGCACTCCAGCCTGAGCAACAAGAGCAAAACTTTGTCCAGCCCCACCCCCCCCCCCCACACACACACAAAGGGTCGGGAGCGGTGGTTCACACCTGTAATCCCAGCACTTTGGGAGGCCGAGGCAGGCGGATCACGAGGTCAGGAGATAGAGACCATCCTGGCCAACATGGTGAAACTCCGTCTCTACTGAAAAGAAAAAATACAAAAATTAGCTGGGCATGGTGGTTCGTGCCAGTAATCCCAGCTACTCAGGAGGCTGAGGCAGGAGAATCTCTTGAACCAGGGAGTCGGAGGTTGCAGTGGGCCTCGATGGCACCACTGCACTCCAACCTGGTGACAGAGCAAGACTCCGTCTCAAAAAAAAAAAAAAAAAAGGCCAAAATGAATTACTCCTCAAAAAAAAAAAAAATTGCAATAAACCCACCTGTAGCTCACATAAAAGGGGAAGCCGTGGCACATTTATTCCAACAAGGAAGTGTTTCGTTTCCAAAACTGAGTTTCCTGCAATAATTCAGAAATCATTTCCACCCCAAAGAAGCAGGCCACCCTTTCCAATCAGTTTAACATTGCTACTTTCAAAAGGGAGGCTACTACTACGTAAAAGTAAGGACTCCATGTGCTGGACTGAGCAAGGGAGCATGAGAACTTCACTCTTTTACCTGTAATTCGCACATCCCCAACCCACATAAGCCCCTGAAAAACGTGGCAAGCCCTCTCTGGACCAGGTTTCCAATGCAAACATCCCCTTAACAGCAATTTCCAAATGACCGAGAAGCCTAAAAATCAGCACAGCCCCCCCTACACCCACTCATCAGCGAAACAAACCACGATCCTCAGTTCAGATACAAACTCTGCCCTGCGCTTACTCTCCCCCAAAACAGGCAAGGACCATTTGGTCACCATCCCACTGCCTTTCTTGGACAAAATCCCATCAGTGGACATGCCCTCCTAAATTCCATACCTTTGCCCTACCAGCAGTTCCTTACCCTACACACCCCTCCCCATAACATTTTACCCGCCCCTCCTTTCCATCCGGGCTCCAATCCACCAGCCCCCTCCCACTACAACCCACTCCTAATCACCGTGTCCCCCCTAATAACGTTCCCCGCTAAAAGCCATCCCCGTGTCATGCTCTCCTCCACTCCCTGATCCTTGGTCAGGCCCCAGCTCCCGCAAGGGGTGAGAGACAGGGTCCCCAAAGCTGACCGAAGGGCCCGCGGGAGGGGGAGGGGAGCTCAAGGCCGTGCGCATGCGCCCCGGGCGCCGCGGTAGCCGGTCGCCCCTAGGCCGGGAGAGAGCCCCGGCCGCCGCCGTCGTCCCCCACCCGCCGACCACCGCACCTACACGCCGGCCCGGCCTCGGGCTCCACGCAGGGAAGGATACTTAAAGCCAGCATTTTGGACTGGTAGTCGAAGGCTACCACCTCGCCCTGCAGCCGCTGCTCCTGGCATGTCCGGCACGACACCTGGCTCCCAACGCTGAAGTACTCGCCCGGAGGAGCCGCCATCTTGCGAGTGCAGCCGCGGCCGGCGGCGGCGGCGGCAGCAGCGGGCGAAAGCCGGGCCCCCAGTAAGCGACGCGACGCAACGCACGGAACGTGCTTCCGTCACACGCCGGGGCGTGGCCTGGTGCTGGGTGGGGCGGGAGCCTAGGTGCACTAGGAAAGAAGAGGAAATAAAGGGGAATCTGAAAAATAATATTTGTATAGCTGCGTCCGCTCGGTTAAGTGCCTGTAGAGTCTATTTTAGAAGTTAAGGATAAATGACCTACATGGAATGAAAAGGGGAAAGAGGAAGGAACTGCAGTCTCCATTATATGCACTCCTTGAACACAAGAGTTCAATGAATGAATTTTATTAAATAATTTATATTATCCCCATTTTGCATATGAGGAATCAGAGCCTCAGAGGACTTAACGAAACTTGGTCAACATGATTATAACGGCCGGGCGCGGTGGCTCACGCCTGTAATCCCAGCACTTTGGGAGGCCAAGGGGAGGTGTAGATCATCAGCGGTCAGGAGTTCAAGACCAGACTGGCCAACATGGCAAAAGCCCGTCTCTACTAAAAATACAAAAATTAGCTAGGCGTGGTGGCGCGTGCCTGTAATCCCAGCTACGCGGAGTACTGAGGCAGGCAGATTGCTTGAACCTGGGAGGTGGAGGTTGCAGTGAGCCAAGATAGTTCCTCTGCCACTCCAGCCTAGGAAACAGAGCGAGTCTCCGTCTCAAAAAAAAAAAAAAAAAGATTATAACTACAGAGTGAGTGGAAAGAACATTGGCTGTGGAGTTAGATAAGCCGGAATCAGAATTTCAGGTCAGCTTACTAAATTACATGACCTTGAGCAAGCAAATTACCTGATCCTGTTTCTTCATAGGCATTTATATTGTCACTTCTTGAGCACCTATGTAACAGCCCTTTGAGGTAGGAATCAATGTCCTCCTTTTACAGAAACTAAGTTTTAGACTAAACTTGTCCACGCTTGCACAACTAGCAAAAACAGTCTGCCTATTTCCAAGGATGGTGCTATTTACTGCTATACTATATTGGATAATAATACCTACCTCAAAGTTAGAAGGTTTAAATGTGATAACATGTATATGTGCATGGCATATACTAGCTCTTTAATAAATAGTAGTTCTCCCTTTGTCATCCATCATTCTATGAAATCAAGACACTTCCCCTTCTCCCTTTTTGCCATCTCTCCCAGAAAGCCAGGCAAAAGGCAGGAATGAGGAGGAGCAAACAGTGACAAAAAGGGGCTTGGAGGAGGGGTTTTGCACCCCTGCCCTTTAATGTCCATCTGATACACAAAACAGTCATTTTCGGCCGGGCGTAGTGGCTCACGCCTGTAATTCAAGCACTTTGGAGGCCAAGGCGGGCGGATCACCTGAGGTCAGGAATTCAAGACCAGCCTGACCAACATAGTGAAACCCTGTCTTTAAAAAAAAAAAAAAAAAAAACGGACGGGCACGGTGGCTCACGCTGGTAATCCCAGCATTTTGGGAGGCCTAGGCGGGTGGGTCACGAGGTCAAGAGATGGAGACCATCCTGGTCAACATGGGGAAATCCCGTCTCTACTAAAAATACAAAAAATTAGCTGAGCGCGGTAAGGCGTGCCTGTAATCCCAGCTACTCAGGAAGCTGAGGCAGGAAAATTGCCTGAACCCAGGAGGCGGAGGTTGCGGTGAGCCAAGATCACGCCATTGCACTCCAGCCTGGATAACAAGAGCAAAACCTGGTCTCAAAAAAAAAAAAAAAAAACAGTCATTTTCTTAATCTATGTAAAGGACTATGCCAATGCATTTTCAAGCCCTGCTACGGCCAATTGCTGTAGGTAATTGGTAACCCACCCACCCCTCACTGTAGAAATTTTGGAGCCTTGCTTCCTGTATGAGAAACAGGTTGACCTTTTTCTAGTCCAGAGGGAGGCAAAGGACCAGTCTTGGCGCAGCTTAACCTGAATAAAGTTCAAAAGTATTTCCTTGCCCTCCAAGAAACATAAACTTCCTGGTATTGGAGGTATGGGTACAATTATTGTAACAGGAATAAAAATTCTACTCTGGGCGGGGCGTAGTGGCTCACGCCTGTAATCCAAGCATTTTGGAGGCCAAGTCGGGTGGATCACCTGAGGTCGGGAGTTCAAGACCAGCCGGACCAACATGGTGAAACCCCGCCTTAAAAAAAAAAAAATTCTACTCCTTTATATTGTGCTTTTTCAGAAAACTTTTTTTTTTTTTTTTTGAGACAGTGTCTCACCCTCTTACCCAGGCTGGACTGCAGTGGCACCATCTTGGATCACTGCAACCTGTACCTCCCAGGTTCAAGTGATTCTCCTGCCTCAGCCTCCTGAGTAGCTGAGATTACAGGCGTGAGCCACCATGCCTGGCTAATTTTTGTACTTTTAGTAGAGATGGGGTTTCACCCTGTTGGCCAGGTTGGTCTTGAATTCCTGGGCTCAAGCAATCTCCCGCCTCAGCCGGCCTGTCAAGTGCTAGGAATACAGGCATGAGCCATTGTGGCCAGCCTCGGAAAACTTTCATGCCTCTCATTCTTGTTCTGGCCTCCATAACAAATCATACATAATCACCATTCCAGTTTTTGTATGAAATTGTGATTATATAGCACAATCATTGTCCACTTTTTTTATGAAATCGTGATTATATAGCACTGAAATCTCCTCTGACATGATAAAAAAAATCGTGATTACAGGTTTTCATATATGACTTATAGACGCCACTAGGAAGTGAAAAATCTCTGCTGAGACCTGAAGAATTAGCAAGGAAAAAGGGTGGCCATGTTCCAGGCAGAGGGAACTGCATGGGTCAGGACCCCTAGGAGGAGAGAACTTGGCGAACTCAAGGAATGTATAGCTCAGAAATATTTTAAAGTGGAGTGTGGGAATAGGCTGGTGAAGTTTGAGGCTAGATCCAGGGCAAACTTTTAAAGCTTCAGTAAGAAATGTAGACTTTCTCCTTGGGCAATTAATTAAAAAACATCCAGCAAGGCAGTGAACTAAGATTTATACCCAGCTTCCCTCCCCTACACATTTTTTTTTTTTGAGACGGAGTTTCACTCTTGTTGCCCAGGCTAGAGTGCAATGGTGAGATCTCAGCTCACAGCAACCTCCGCCTCCCAGGTTCAAACAATTCTCCTGCCTCAGCCTCCTCAGTAGCTGGGATTATAGGCATGTGCCACCACATCTGGCTAATTTTGTATTTTTAGTGGAGAAAGAGTTTCTCCATATTGGTCAGAGTGATCTCGAACTCCTGACCTTTGGGAGGCCTGCCTTAGCCTCCCAAAGTGCTAGGATTACAGGCGTCCTCCACTTTTTCAATTAGTGATAGTAATATCTTTCAGAGAAGAACACAGATTTACATTCTAATTTTAATCTACCTATTAGAAAACTTTTTTTTAGACGGAGTTTCGCTGTTGTTACCCAGACTGGAGTGCAATGGCACGATCTCGGCTCACCGCAACCTCCACCTTCTGGGTTCGAGCAATTCTCCTGCCTCAGCTTCCTGAGTAGCTGGGACTACAGGCGTGCACCACCATGCCAGCTAATTTTTGTATTTTTAGTAGAGACAGGGTTTCGCCTCGTTGACCAGGATGGTCTCGATCTCTTGACCTCGTGATCCACCCGCCTCGGCCTCCCCAAATGCTGTGATTATAGGCGTGAGCCACCGCACCCGGACTTTTTTTTTTTTTTAAAGATGGGGTTTCACCATGATGGCCAGGCTGGTCTTCAACTCCTGACCTCAGGTGATCCACCCACCTTGGCCTCCCAAAAGTGCTAGGATTACAGGCATGAGCCACCACGCCCGGCCTATTAGAAAAGTTTTAAAGAGCCAGGCACTGTGGCTCAAACCTGTAATCCCAGCACTTTGGGAGGTCGTGGTGGGCAGATCACCTGAGGTCAGGAGTTTGAGACCAGCCTGGCCAATTTGGCAAAATCCCATCTCTAATAAAAATACAAAAATTAGCTGGGCGTGGTAGGGCATGCCTGTAATCCCAGCTAATGGGGGTGCTGAAGCAAGAGAATTGCTTGAATCCAGGAGGCAAGGGTTGCAGTGAGCTGAGATCGCATCACTGCACTCCAGCCTGGGCAACAAAGTGAGACTCCATCTCAAAAAAAAGTAAGAAAGAAAAATAAATTTAGCCGTGCATGGTAGCACAGGCCTGTAATCCCAGCTACTCGGGAGGCTGAGCCAGGAGAATCCCTTGAACCCGGGAGTCATAGGTTGCAGTGAGCCGAGATCAAGCCAATGCACTCCAACCTGAGCTACAAGAGCGCAACTCCTTCTCAAAAAAAAAACTTTTCAAGAACAAAGTTGTTAGAGGTAGGAAGAAACTAAGGAGACACTGTTCAACCGTCTTCTAGGCAGGACCTCGCCTAGAATAGCTGAGATTTCTATTTTCTGTGTGTGTTCCTCCAGATGACTGTTTCAAACTCTGTCGCGGATGTGTGCCAATCCTCTTCCCATACCAACACTGTTACTATCTCTTGGTTTCATCTGCCTAAGCAGGGTTTTGGATGGCAGGAGGATGGGGATGGGGGAAGCAAGGGAAGAACTGGGAGGAAGTGTGACTTTGCACTATATGTGAGAATTGGCCTTTTTAGGGAAGACCCCTCAAAATCAATAGACTTATCCGTCAGCCTCCAAATTAACAGAGGTCGAATTAGAGAAGGAGAGTCTTGAGCTGGGGGAGGAAGACTTTGCACTATATGTGAGAATTGGCCTTTTTAGGGAAGACCCCTCAAAATCAATAGACTTATCTGTCAGCCTCCAAATTAATAGAGGTCGAATTAGAGAAGGAGCGTCTTGAGCTGGGGGAGGAAGGGGTGAACTGATTATCGGCGTTTGCAAATTTACGATCCCACTTCAGCTCCCAGGAGGAGGGGCGTCTGCAGCCTTTTCTCCAAAGGATCTGTTTTTTTGTTTGTTTTTTTTTTGAGACAGAGTGTCGCTGCTACGTCGCCAGGCACCAGGCTGGAGTGCAGTGGCGCGATCTCGGCTCACTGTAACCTCCGCCTCCCGGGTTCAAGCAATTCTCCTGCCTCAGCCTCCTCAGTAGCTGGGACTACAGGCGCGCGCCACCACACGCTGTTAATTTTTGTATTTTTAGTAAAGACGGGGTTTCACCATGTTAGCCAGGATGGTCTCGATCTCTTGACCTCGTGATCCACCCGCCTCGGCCTCCCAAAGTGCTGGGATTAAAGGCGTGAAACACCGTGCCCGGCCCTTTTTTTTTTTTAGACGTAATTTTTGGCTCTTGCTCTGCTCACTGCAACCTCCGCCTCCGAAGACTCCCGCCACCACGCCCGGCTAATTTTTTGTATTTTTAGTAGAAACGGGGTTTCGCCATGTTGGTCAGGCTGGTCTTGAACCCCTGACCTCAGGTGATCCACCCGTCTCGGCCTCCTAAAGCTGGGTTTACAGGTGTGAGCCACCGCGCCCGGCCTTTGCTGTTGTTTTTTTCGATGGTTAGCGGTACTGGAGAAGAGAGGTCCGGTCGGGAAAGAATCATGGCCCTGGAGATTACACATCCGCCTTCACATCAGCAGAACAGGGACGCTGGGAGTGCCGGCCGCCCTCCGGTTAGTCTGTTCCCTGACCCGGAACGGCACCGGTGCCGCCACTCACCGGCTGCCCACGTGCCGGCTACAGCGGCCACGTGGGGCCCTGAGGAAACGCCTTTAAAAAGGTTTGTCCCCTACGCTGCCCAGTACGGAGGAAAACCGGCGGAGAGCGCTGGAGGAAACTGTACGGGCTGGGGGCCGGACTTGCAGGAGCCCGGGACTGCCTGGGGCGGGGACTGGGGCGGGGCTTGGGGGCGACTGCTAGCAGGGCGGGTGGGGCCTGGGACACTGAGCGGTGGGCTTTGGAGAGCCCCTGGCTGACTCTACCTCGTCGCTTGGACTCTTCGGCTTCCGCCCTGGAGCAAGTCCCGGAAGCTGGGCGGCCATGGAGTCCACGCTGGGCGCCGGCATCGTGATAGCCGAGGCGCTGCAGAACCAGCTAGCCTGGCTAGAGAACGTGTGGCTCTGGGTCACCTTTCTGGGCGATCCTAAGATCCTCTTTCTGTTCTACTTCCCCGCGGCCTACTACGCCTCTCGCCGTGTGGGCATCGCGGTGCTCTGGATCAGCCTCATCACCGAGTGGCTCAACCTCGTCTTCAAGTGGTGAGACAGCGAAGCCCTCCGGCATCCTGGTCCCCGCCCCCGAGGGCCCTGAGTCGTGTAAGCCCTGGTCTCTCTCAGCAGCTGTCACAAGGGCCTTCCCACCCCTACTCTAGTCCCTAATTTTTTCCCTTTGAGCATGTTTGTGCAGCTTGGACTCAAACCTTAGAGTCCATCCATCCTACTCATTGGACCAGTGTTCCTCAAACCGGTCTGATCGAGAAATCACCTAAGGGGCGTGTCTAAAATGTAAATATCCTATCCTCATCTCACACTTACTGATTTAGAAACTCCAAGGGGTTAGGAATTTATTTTTTATTTTTATTCTTTTTTTTGGGGAGGGGGAATATATATATATATATATATACCCAAATATAGTATACTCTCTCTATATATACATATAAATTCTCTATATATCTATATATAGATATATAGATAGAGAGAGAGAGGGATACTGAATCTTACTCTGTCACCTAGGTTGGAGTGCAGTGGCACGATTTTGGCTCACTGCAACCTCCGCGTCCTGGGTTCAAGCCATTCTCCTGCCTCAGCCTTCCCTGTAGCTGGGATTACAGGCTCCCACCACCACGCCCAGCTACTTTTTGTATTTTTAGCGGCGGGGTTTCACCATGTTGGCCAGGTTGGTCTCGAACTCTTGACCTCGTGATCTGCCCACCTCAGCCTCCCAAAATGCTGGGATTACTGGTGTGAGCCACTGCACCCAGCGGGAATTTATATTTTAACAAATATTTATGGTGATTTAAGTGGAGAGTTCTACCTCTCAACTCACTTTTTCATTCATCTATTCATTCATTTGCTATAATTTTTCAGAAGCGTGCTTAGTGTTGGGCATCACAGGAGCTGCTAAGGACAGAGACACCTTGCAGATTAATGTGTGGTCCTTGGACCACACACAACAGCATAGGCAACACTTGAAAACTAGCTAGAAATGTAGACTCTCAGACCCAGGGCCAGAGTTACTGAATCAAAATCTGCATTTTATCAGGGTCCCAGTTGATAATCAGGATCCCCAGTTGATTCCCTGTGTGTGTGCAGTAAAGTTTGGGCTAAAGCTCAGCTTTTCAGGGAACACTTTCCCTTCTTTCTCCTTCATTCACTAGTAGATGACTCTTCACACTGAGACTTAGAAGCCAGGAAGCTCAAGGACATGGGTAAAGACCCTGTGGCCTTGGGGCTGGGCATGCAGCCACAACTTCCTTCACCTCAGCCTCTATTGCCAGATACCCAGCCTGGGGGAAGAAAGGGAGGCTCATACTAGTTATTTCTTTTTTTTTTTTTTTTCGAGACAGAGTTTCGCTCTTGTTACCCAGGCTGGAGTGCAAGGGCACGATCTCTGCTCACCGCAACCTCCGCCTCCTGGGTTCAGGCAGTTCTCCTGCCTCAGCCTCCTGAGTAACTGGGATTACAGACACGCGCCACCATGCCCAGCTAACTTTTTGTATTTTTAGTAGAAATGGGCTTTCATCATGTTGACCAGGATGGTCTCCATCTCTTGACCTCGTGATCCACCCGCCTCGGCCTCCCAAAGTGCTGGGATTACAGGCGTGAGCCACCACACCCGGCTTTTTTTTTTTTTTTTTTTAAGATGGGGTTTCACCATGGTGGCCAGGCTGGTCTTGAACTCCTGACCTCAGGTGATCCACCCACCTTGGCCTCCCAAAGTGCTAGGATTACAGGCTTGAGCCACTGTGCCCCACCATACTAGGTATTTCAATGGGCTGCAATGACTTGCTGAAACAGCCTCATCCTTACGGTAAAGGGAACCACAGTAGTCTTTTCAGTTCCTTCTTGCCTAATTGCCCTTTGCTTTGTGCTCTCTCCTCCCTCAAAGTCTGTAAGCCTCCCTCTCCAGTCCTTGTCCCCCAAAGATCACAATCTCCCCCAGATATTATTATTGTTATTATTATTATTGAGACGGAGTCTTGCTGTGTCACCAGGCTGGAGTGCAGTGGTGCAATCTCGGCTCACTGCAACCTCCACCTCCTGGGTTCAAGCGATTCTTCTGCCTCAGCCTCCTGAGTAGCTGGGACCACAGGCATGTGCCACCATGCCCAGCTAATTTTTGTATTTTTAGCAGAGACAGGGTTTCACCATGTTGGCCAGGATGGTCTCGATCTCTTAACCTCGTGACCCACCCACCTCATCCTCCCAAAGTGCTGGGATGACAGGCATGAGCCACTGCACTTGGCCTCCCCCAGACATTATTAATGTCCCCCAAATGGCAAAGCCCCTATTCATTTTCCTTTCTTTCTTCCATTTTTTTTTTTTTTTTTTTTTCAATTTTAATGACAGAGTTTTTTTCTTGTCGCCCAGCCTGGAGTGCAATGGCAAGATCTTGGTTTACTGCAATCTGCCTCCCGGATTCAAGCGATTCTCCTGCCTCAGCCTCCCAAGTAGCTGAGATTACAGGTGCATGCTACCACACCCAGCTAATTTTTATATTTTTAGTAGTGACGGAGTTTCTCCATGTTGGCCACACTGGTCTCAAACTCCTGACCTCAGGTAATCCGCCCGCCTTGGCCTCTCACAGTGCTGGGATTATAGGTGTGAGCCACCGTGCCTGGCATTCTCTTTTTTTTTTTTAAGATGGAGTCTCTCTCTGTCGCCCAGGTTAGAGTGCAATGGCACAATCTTGGCTCACTGCAACCTCTGTCTCCCAGGTTCATGTGATTCTCCTGCCTCATCCTCCCGAGTAGCTGGGATTACAGGTGCCCACCACTCTCCTGGCTAATTTTTGTATTTTTAGTTGGGGAGGGTGGTTCACCATGTTGGCCAGTCTGGTCTCAAACTCCTGACGTCAGGTGATCCACCTTCTCAGCCTCCTAAAGTGCTGAGATTATAGGCGTGAGCCACCACTCCTGGCACCCCCATTCATTTTCTAAGTGAGCACTTGATGTATACTAGGCTCAGTTTTCAGAGACGAGAGGCAAGTGCCTTCTGTATCTTCCTTCCCAGCATGCAGCATCCTGCCAGCATCTCATTTGCTATCTTATCTTTTCTCTTCCTGGCCACAGCAGCCTCTTCAGTGTGTGGTTTCCCAGGGCCCAGCCAAGCACTTGCTAGACCAGAGGATTTTGAAATTTTTTTGTCCTCCTTATTCTTTCTCAACCTCCTGTGTCCATTTCCCACTCCCATTTTCAGACATGAGAGGCTCACATAAATAATTTAGATGTGGATAATTCAGGCTATAACTGGGGACATGAAGGCACAGGTAGTAGGAGGGTTAGTGAGGGAGAGAGAGCTGAGTCCTGGGCTCTATGGATGATAAGAGTTGGCTCTTCAGTGAAAGGGGATAGAGTGGGATGGCTGAGTATCGCAGAGTGCACACACATACTTGCCACAATCTCTTGCCTCTGTATCAGTTTTTTTATTTTATTCACTTTTTTTTGTTTTCTTCTCCATCACTAGGCTAGAGTACAATGGCACAATCACAGCTCACTGCAGCCTCAACCTCCTGGGCTCAAGTGATCCTTCCCACTTCAGCCTCTGATGTAGCAGGGACTACAGGTGCACCCCAAGATGCCTGGCTAATTTTTGTAGTTTTTGTAGAGATGGGGTTGTGTCGCCAAGCGAAGTGGCTCATGCCTGTAATCCCAGCACTTTGGGAGGCCGAGGCTGGTGGATCACTTGACGTCAGGAGTTCGAGACCAGCTTAGCCAACATAGTGAAACCCCATCTCAGAAAAAAAAAAAAGAGATGGGGTTTTGTCCTGTTGCCCAGGCTGGTCTCGAACTCCTGGGCTCAAGCGATCTGACTGCCCAGCCTCCCAAGTAACTGGGACTAAAGGTGTACACCACCACTTCTAGCTAATTTTTTTTTATTTTTGTTGAATCTGGGTCTTGCTATGTTGCCCAGGCTGGTCTTGAACTCCTGGTGTCAAATGATTCTCCAGCCAAGGCCTCCCACAGTACTGGGATTACAGTCATGAGCCACTGTACCTGGCCTCAGGCTAGTTTTTAAAAATATTTCCAGGCCGGGCACAGTGGCTCATGCCTATAATCCCAGCACTTTGGGAGGCCGAGGTGGGTGGATCATGAGGTCAAGAGATTGAGACCATCCTGGTCAACATGGTGAAACCCTGTCTCTACTAAAAATACAAAAAAATTAGCTGAGCCTGGTGGCGCGTGCCTATAGCCCCAGCTACTCGGGAGGCTGAGTCAGGAGAATTACTTGAACCCAGGAGGTGGAGGTTGCGGTGAGCCAAGATCGTGCCATTGCACTCCGGCCTGGGTAATAAGAGCAAAAACAAAACAAACAAACAAAAAAAACTCCATCTCAAAAAAACCCGAAAAACCAAAAAATATTTCCACAGGCTTTGAGGGTTAAGGGAAAAAAGAAAATAAATAGTGTGTTTTATTCCTCCTGTTCTAAGGTAGAAAACCATGGCACGGTATCCATGGATACCTTGAGAGCAATGTACAGAATTGGAGCCCCTTTTTGACTTCACCCCTCAGGCCCTCCGGAGTACTCCGTGTCCTGCTCCGCTTGCATCTCCTTGGCTGTGTGTGCATGTGGAAAGTCATCTTGCATCTGTTCTCTTCCAGGTTTCTGTTTGGAGACAGGCCCTTTTGGTGGGTCCATGAGTCTGGGTACTACAGCCAGGCTCCAGTCCAGGTTCACCAGTTCCCCTCTTCTTGTGAGACTGGTCCAGGTGGGAAGCCTCAAACATCCTCCCTTTCCCAATGTGGTTAGGATTCAGGTGAACATTTCAGAGTACTTTTCAGCCTGGGTGGCCCAACCATAGGTCTAGCCTCCCAATTATAGGCCCAGAGAACAAAGGAGCCCCAGAGAGACCAAGCTGAATTATGGGAGGAGGGTACTCATGCTATGTACCAGCTGCCCACCTTGTACAGAGTACACTCAAGAGACACAGGTCAGGATAGAAGCCTGAGCGCAGTGACCTCAGGTGGCAGTAAAAAGGCCTCAGAGCAGAGCGAGCTATGGATCAGTGCCAGGGAAAAGCTCTCTTCTCAGCCAGGAGAGGCAGCTGTGTTACTGGGACATCACCAGAGGCCCTGGGTTCTGCCTCCATCTTCTCACCACGAGCTTCTGGATTTGCTGGCAGGCAGCCCTTCTGGACACTGCATGGTCACAGGAGCAGCCCTTTGGCCCATAATGACAGCCCTCTCTTCACAGTTGGCCACTCGGACCCACAGGTATACCCTTGGTATTGCCCACCATTGGGAACACGGCTGATGGCACCATGTACCTAAAAGACCCAGCAGCATGGCAGCCTGGGAGCTGGAGTTCTGGGGTCCCTGGGGTATGTGGTCAAGACATGGGGTACTTGGGTGCTACAGGAGGCCGAGCTGTGTATGGGTGCACTCTGAGCTCCTTGCCTCTCTTCTTTCTAGCCGCTGGGTAAGGGTGATGCCTACCCTGGCTTATTGCACATTCCTTTTGGCGGTTGGCCTGTCGCGGGTCTTCATCTTAGCACATTTTCCTCACCAGGTGCTGGCTGGCCTAATAACTGGTGAGCAACTAGGGCAACGGGGTGGGCTGAGAGGATGCCTTCGGCAGTGGGAGGATCAGTCTAGGATCTTCCCAGCTTCTGTAGAGCCCACCCCAGAGGCCTCTCTTATGTCTCAGTTTGTTCTCTTGCCAGGCTGCACTGCAGCTGGGGGTGGGGGCTGGGAGGGTCATATCCTTAAACTCCTTGAAGCTGCTGTCACTCTACTCTCATAGGCGCTGTCCTGGGCTGGCTGATGACTCCCCGGGTGCCTGTGGAGCGGGAGCTGAGCTTCTATGGGTTGACTGCACTGGCCCTCATGCTAGGGACCAGCCTCATCTATTGGACCCTCTTTACGCTGGGCCTGGATCTTTCTTGGTAAGTCTCACTTTGAAGCCTGGATGGGCTGGGCCCTGTCCTATCTTGCCTGCACCTAGCCTGTTGGGTCTCTGGTTCATTATAGCTAAAAAGGACACATTACCTATTCATATAGACCCTCAAAGGCACAAAGCAGAACATAGGAGTGGGCCCAGGGGCAGATGGCCAAGAGCCAGAGGCCTTCTACGTTCTAGTTTCTCTTGGCAAGGACTCTTCTTCCCCACAGGTCCATCAGCCTAGCCTTCAAGTGGTGTGAGCGGCCTGAGTGGATACATGTGGATAGCCGGCCTTTTGCCTCCTTGAGCCGTGACTCAGGGGCTGCCCTGGGCCTGGGCATTGCTCTGCACTCTCCCTGCTATGCGCAGGTGCGTCGGGCACAGCTGGGAAATGGCCAGAAGGTAGCCTGCCTTGTGCTGGCCATGGGGCTACTGGGCCCCCTGGACTGGCTGGGCCACCCCCCTCAGATCAGCCTCTTCTACATCTTCAATTTCCTCAAGTACACCCTCTGGCCATGCCTAGTCCTGGCCCTCGTGCCCTGGGTAGTGCACATGTTCAGTGCCCAGGAAGCAGCACCCATCCACTCTTCCTGACTTCTTGTGTGTCTGCTTCTTTCCTTTTTCTCCCACTAAGCCAACACTCTGTGACTACCACACTCCGGGAGGCAGCCCCATGCTCTTCCAGCCCCCAAGCAGGCCCTCCTCTAAATCTGCTTTCCTACCACCTGGTCTTAGCCCCAAAGATGGACCTTCTCTCTCCTAGAGAAGCTGGTCCTCCCTCTTCCTTTCCTCTCAAGCCCCCAAAGAGCAAAGGCAACAGCAAGACCAGCGGGTTCCTGCAACACTGTGAAGGGCAGCTGGGGCAGCCCCAATAAAGCCCTCGAATACTCCGAGATTCCTTTCTTGCCTGTGCGTACCTCTCCATAGGCCTTGCCTGTGTGTGCACAAGCGGAACCCTTGCCAGGCTGCTCCAGTGGTCTCTGTGCCACCTCTGTTTCCAGGGGCAGAGAGGCAGGAAAGGAGAGGGCTGTAAACTCAGGTGAGACCTCTTGGCCCCCGGACCCCCTGCCTCATCACTGCCTAGGCCACATGAGAAGTCCCATGAGATGCTTTGACTATATTCAGTGTAACCCTGACTTTCACCTACGGGACAGATCTTGCGCCCCAATCTCCATTTTCGTAAATTGGCTTCTAGTCCAGGGGCTGGAGCAAAGATTAGTGTTTTTGGCTAGATAGGAGGATGAACTACTACTCCATTTGGGAGCCCAGAGAATAGAGATATTGGCCCCAGAAGGCACTGCCAGAAACAAGTTTATTTACACAAGGACAAACAGTGTAACAGGTTACAAAATCCTTAACTGAAATCCATATCCAGGGAGACAAAGCAAGGAGTGGGTTTACATGAGAACCAGACCAGCCACAGGGAGAGGGTGGGCAAGGTGCCTGGAGCCTGGGGCTCAGCAGAGAGGACTAGTACACTGGGCCTAGCCCCATCCCCATCCCCCAGGAGGATCTAAAACATAGAACACATAGCGCACAATGAACCAATGAATTGATGGTGCTGGGGCTCCTGCCCCTCCCCTGGCTCCCTCAACCCTGCTCAGGCCCCCAATAGGATAATAAATATGTAAACAGATTGGTGGGGCCCTGGGGTTGGGAGGAGAGAAAGTATGTGTGGTACTGGGGAGGAGGAGAGAGGAAGAGTCAGCCCCCTAAGAGCCACTTCCCATCTTTGGTTTCCTACAGGCTGGACAGCATTCCCTGGAAGCCTTGTAGGCCCACAGCCCCTGGCAAGGCTCCTGGGAAGGAGAAGGGGCAGACCCCAGCCCCCTTGGGCTTGGGGCCAGCAAAGGGAGCCCAAGAATGGAAACTCCAGTGGAGGGCCAACTCCTGGATCCCTGGGTTCTGGCCTTACCCCTTCTAGAACCCCCACTCTCACCATCCCTAGGCTCCAAAGCAAAAGGCCTCAGGAGGGAGTGAGCCCCTGCCCCTTCTACCTGCAGCATGCTGGATGGCTACGGAAAGCTAGTCCTGACAGCAGGGGCGCTCTCACCAGCCTGGAGCCCCCCTGCAGGGACCACCTTCTCCCCCTGCCCAGGCTGTGCCAGCAGAGGGACAGGGAGGCCATCCAAGTAAGGTGGGGAGCAGGCCTGGTTCTACAGCTCCTCCTGGCCCCTGAGAACCCAAGAGACCAGTCCTCTCCTTCCCCACACACTTTTCACCCTCTCAGCCCCGGGGAAGGGGAAGCAGGCCCTGAAGAGCCCTGCTCAGCCCCCACTGACAGCAAGATAGCCCTGCTCACAGACCGCAGCCATGGCTTGGGCACCAGCCTCCCATCAGTGCTGAGACCAAGGAGGAGGAAAGGGGTCTGCGCAGATTGAGAGGACGAAGAAGGGGGAAACAGTGGAGAATCGCAGGGTGGGTACCCACCTCCCTTCCCCTCTGCCTCTTAGTAGTGGACCCTCCAGATCCCCCCCTGAGGCTGGAGAAGGGAGGAGGGTGAAATTAAGGCATTTCCCCCCAAGTCAGCTGAAACCAAGGCACCGACTTCCTGTTCCCTCCTCACTCAGGGGGGCCCCAGAACTGGAGGGTACTGTCAGGGTCCCGTGTCCACCTTGAGCTGGCCCAGGCTCCAAGGGGGAAAAGGACAGAATGCAGGAAAATGGGTGGAGGAATACCCGGGTCAGGGCTGGGAATACACCCCCCCACCCCCTGCGGAGGGAACAGGCTTCTAGAGCTGAGATGGAGGCCACAGGGCTGGGGGCCTGAGGCAGTGTGGAGGAGCAGGAGGGGCAAGGCTGAGAGACCCACACAGCACACCTTGTTGAATGTGTGACTTTTTGTTTTTAATAGAAAAAATAAACAAAATCACAATGGTGAAGCCCAGAGGGATGGGGGCTGGGGTGTCACAGGGCAGGCTCCTGCTCCATGGGCTCCTCTGCCGGCCTGTTCGGGACAAACACAGGGGAAGGTGTTGAGTTGTGCACATCAGCAGGGGCGAGGGCAGAGAGGTAGCAGGGGTGCTGCTTACCTGGGGCTGTGCTCCCGGGCTGCCGCAGCCTGGACCTGCTCAGCCCCCACTGACAGCAAGGCCATGGCGCTCACAGTCTCAGCCTCCTCGGTCTCACCTGCCTGGGCCTCCCGCAGGGAACGGCCCAGACCAGCGGCGAACTTCTGCACACAGCTCCAGTGTTTGCCTGTGGATGAGAGGTGGGCAAGGGGTGAGGGAGGGCAGACGACACCCACATGAACTGCTCCAGTTCTGGTGCTCCCACAAGCTCCGCCCCCCTTGGCAGCCCGAGCCCCTCCATGAGTCCCCACGCACTCTGGATCTCGATGACTTTCTCTAGTGTGGCCACTGCATTGATATTGGGCTTTTGCTGCAAGACTGCCTCATCCAAGGGCTGCAGCTGGCAGGGGAAAGAAGAGAAGCTTAAGGTAGGGAGTAGGATTGCGATACGTACCCCTCTAAGTGCCCCACTCGGTCCCAGATATCCCTCATGACAGGGGCAAACATGGTCTTTTTGGACAAACCCATATTCAGAAAGCCTTCCCTGGCCATTAGCTATTCCTTAGGACCAAAGAAAAGCTTCCTAAGGGGCTCCCAGTGCTAACTGGCCCCTCAGCCCCATGGCCTGCCACCTCCCAGCCCCTTCCCACCCCTCACCTCTACACTGAGCAGAGCCGAGACACAAGCCTCAGAGGCATCACAGATGGCGGTCAAGTCATGGCCTCCCTCCAGGGCCAGCACCACCCGGCCCTCTGCCAGGGTCATCAGCTGCCTGGTCAAGTGGCCAAAACCTTTGGGGATGGGTGAAGGGAGGAGGATGAAATGGTAAAAGGTATTCAATTCAAGAGTCAGTAAGAAAAGGAGAGAAAAAGAAACAGAGGTGTGGTGGCTCATGCCTGTAATCCCAGCACTTTGGGAAGCCAAGGTGGGTGAATCACTTGAGGTCAGGAGTTCGAGACCAGCCTGGCCAATATGGTGAAATCCTGTCTCTACTAAAAAAAATTTAAAAATTAGCCACACACCTATATGGTGGCACACACCTGTAGTCTCAGCTATTCAGGAGACTGAGGCAGAATCGCTTGAACCCAGGAGGTGGAGCTTGCAGTGAGCCAAGATCGTGCCATTGCACTCCAACCTGGGTGACAGAGCGAGACTCCATCTCAAACAAAAAGAAAAAGACAAGAGGTGGGACAAATAGCACAAAATATGATGGCAGATATAAACTCTAATAGATCCATAATAAAATACAATGGTGGCCGGGCACGGTGGCTCACACCTGTAATCCCAGCACAAGAGGCCGAGGCAGGTGTATCACAGGAGATTGAGACCATCCTGGACAATATGGTGAAACCCTATCTTTACTAAAATACAAAAAATTAGCCAGGTGTGGTGGCATGTGCCTGTAGTACCAGCTACTCAGGAGGCTGAGGCAGGGGAATTGCTTGAACCCAGGAGGCAGAGGTTGCAGTGAGCTAAGATCACGCCACTGCACTCTAGCCTGGGCAACAGAGCAAGACTCCATCTCAAAAAAAATAAAATACAATGTCAATGGGCTAAACGCCTTATCACACTCAAAACATTAACAGACTGGCTAAAGACTCCGATGACCAGTTGCTTTCAAGGAGCAACACTGCAACACCAGGGACCACAAGGTCCATTGCTACAGCTCCTGGCAGTGTGAATCCTCTACCCTTTGCTACCCGACTTCCACCTGTCAGCCCCTCAAGGCCAAGGCTGGCAGAGGACGAGTTGGGGGAGTCATCAAGATGATTCCAAGTCTAGGCCCTGCCCCTGCTTTCCCCATCCCCAGCAGTATCAGTCTGTTCCCTGCCCCATGCCCCACTGGACTCTATCCTCACTATTCCACTTCCTCCATCCCCCAGCACGCTTACATCTGGCAGTGACAGAGTAGCCACCCAGTGGTGACAGATGTCCTTCAACAGCATCAAACCCGGCAGAGACTAGGACCACGTCAGGTGAGAACTCGTGGGCAATGGGCATCACCACTGTCCTGCAAAGGGATGGCCCAAGCTGAGCCCAGCAGATGGCCAGGCCAGGCCTTGTCCCACTTATGCCAGAGACAACCCCCTCTACCCACACCGAACTGAGTGCCTTCTGTCCCCTCCCACCGCAGGGCCCAAGGGGGCTCCCTGTGACTCCCGTGGCCCTTTTCAGTCCCTACCTGAAGGCTGTAAGGTACTCCACGTCTCCAATGGGGGGGTCCACACCTCCTGTCCATGCCACATTCACATTGTACCCCACGCCTGGCCCTCCACCAACCTGACACCAGAGTTGGGGAGAGAGCTATTCTCACTGCCTGGGGATCCCAAACATTGCCCCTGCCCTCACCCCTGCCCTCACTCCTGCCTCCAGGTCTCACTCCACTGACCTCTGCTCTGCCTGGAAGAGCAGTCAGATCAGTGTGGTCTTCCCTCTAGGAGCCCAGACTCCCCAGGTACCAGCACCACTGGGCCTCTGTGGCTCCCCACCAGATCCCACTGTGCCACCTCCCAGAGGGGCCAACAGAGTCTGTATTTATGTCCAGGAGCTATACCTCTTCAGGAGCCCCAGAGCCTGGAAAGAAGTTCCCGTTGTCATAGCGATGCAGAGAGATGTAGAGCACAGAGGGGTCGTTGTAGAATGCCTGCTGGGTGCCATTGCCGTGGTGAATGTCCTAGGAGGGGAGGTGGAAGCATCAGGAAAATGGCCCATGGTCTGACACAATGGTCACAATTCCACCTGTCAGCCGGGCGCTGTCACTCACGCCTGTGCTCCCAGGATTTTAGGAGGCTAAGGGCTTGGGGGATTGCTGAGCCTAGGAGTTCAAGACCCACCTGGACAACATAGCAAAACCCCAACCTCCAAACCAAAAAAACTCCACCGGCCCCACCCCAGTGCATGGTGGGCTTTGGGGGTATACCCACCCTAGCCACGGGGCATCCGTATTCTGTTCACAATGGCATTGCCCACCCCACGATTCTCTAACTGGGGTCTGAGCCTCTGTGGTGTGCCACTGTGTAGGGGATACTCAAAGTCAGGGGATAAATGTGGCAGATCTCCCTACAGAACCCATTCCGCTTCACCGTTTGGAGGAAAACATTAAGGCCAGTAGGGAGTTTAAAACCAGCAGATCACATTTCTTTGAGACAGAGTTTCACTCTTATTGCCCTGCTGGAGTGTGGTGGCCCCACTCGGCTCACTGCAATCTCCACCTCCCGCATTCAAGTGATTCTCCTGCCTCAACCTCCTGAGTAGCTGGGATTACAGGGATGTGCCATCACGCCCAGCTAATTTTTTTTTGTATTTTTAGTGGAGATGGGGTTTCCCCATGTTGGCCAGGCTGGTCTCAAACTCCTGACCTAAGGTGATCCACCTGCCTTGGCCTCCCAAAGTGCTGGGATTAAGGCATGAGCCACTGTGCCGGGCCTTTTTCTTTCTCTTTTTCTGAGAGACAGAGTCTCACTCTGTCATCGAGACTGGAGTGCAATAGCATCATCTTGGCTCACTGCAATCCCAGGTTCAAGTGATTCTCCTGCCTCAGCCTGCCAAGTAGCTGGGATTACTGGCTCTCGACACCACACCTGACTAATTTTTTGTATTTCCAGTGGAGACGGGATTTCACCATGTTGACCAGGCTGGTCTCAAACTCCTGACCTCAAGTGATTCACCTACCTTGGTCTCCCAAAGTGCTGGGATTACAGGCTTTGAGGCACTGTGCCCAGCCACAAACACTTAAGATTCTGAAGAAGGATACATTTACATAAAATTTTTTTTTTTTGTGAGACGGAGTCTTGCTCTGTCACCAGGCTGGAGTAAAGTGGCACAATCTCGGCTCACTGCAACCTCTGCCTCCTGGGTTCAAGCGATTCTTCTGCCTCAGCCTCCCGAGTAGCTGGGACTACAGGCGCGTGCCACCACACCTGGCTAAATTTTTGTATTTTTAGTAGAGACGGGGTTTCATCATGGCCAGGATGGTCTCAATCTCTTGACCTCACGATCCACCCACCTCGGCCTCCCAAAGTGCCAGGATTACAGGCATGAGCCACTACGTCTAGCCCATTTACATAAAATTTTAGGCCAGAATTGGGCTTCCATCCTTCCCTAGGCTCACTCCTGGCTACTTCCCCAGCTCACAGAGTGGCATGTGCCTCTGCCTCCACCATTAGGAGCAGGGTTTGAGAAGCACCGGTGGTAGCATGAGCAGAGTGCTGGGGCCAAAAGGCCTGGTCTGAAACCCAGTGCCAATATCCCCAGCAGAGTGGCCTTGGGTGAGTCACACAACGACTGACACCTTCATTTGCAGAAATGGACATCACTGTTCTTACTACTCGAGGTGGCCATAAAGTATTCATTGGGTTCCTGGTATACAGTAGTCGTAGGTGGTGGGAGAAAAAATCGGCTACTAGCAATGGCAGTAGCATCACTACTGTCCAAGATAGGAAATCCTGGGACTTCACTGCTTGAAGCTGCAACGTGAGGACCAAGATGGAGCAGGAGCTAAATGTCTTTCACAGAGAGGAGGGAGCCCTGCTGGAATGTGAGGTTAGTCATCCGGCAGGAGCCCCAGCACCCTTCCTTCTGCACCAGGCACCTGAGGACGAGGATGACTGGGCTGCTTGGAGGTGGGGCTGGGGGAGGGGACTTCCTGGTCCCAGCTCTGCCCACCCCTGCCCAGCCCCACCAGCTCACTGCCTACCCAGTCCACGATGAGAACCTTGCCCACGTTCAACTTCTGTTGTAGGAGTTTTGCTGTGATGGCTACGGAGTTGAAAAAGCAGAATCCCCTGAGGTGGGCGGGGGAGAAAAGGGCGGAGGTCAGCTTCAGCATGACCTCCCTTCAGTAAAGGGAGGTCAGTTTGCAAGAGACAGGAAGGGGCGAGGGCAGAGAATCTAGGGCACTCACATGGCTGTGGACTCCTCGGCGTGGTGTCCTGGGGGCCGGATGATGGCAAATCCATTCTGAAGAGGTGCGGGTAGAGGTCAGGGACAAGATCCAGGCAGGAAGGCCGTGGAGGGGGTGGCACAGGACAGAAGCACAAGCCAGGCAGGGAAGTGAACACAAACCAGAAAAGCAGATCTATATGTTCAATGCAGTTTTGTTGGTTTTTGTTGTTGTTGTTGTTTATTTTGTTTGTTGTTGTTTATTTTGTTTGTGTTGTTTATAGGGTCTTGCTCTAGCACCCAGGCTAGAGTGCAGTGGTGCGATCATGGCTCACTACAACCTTGGCCTCCCAGGCTCAGGCAATCCTCCCAACTCAGTCTCCTGAGTAGCTTGGACTACAAGCACACGCCACCATGCCTGGTTAATTTTTTGTAGAGACAGTGTTTCATCATGTTGCCCAGGCTGGTCTCCAACTCCTGGGCTCAAGCTATCTGCCCGCCTCAGCCTCCCAAAGTATTGAGATTACAGGTGTGAGCCACTGTGCCCAGCCTCAACGGACCATTTTGAATGCCAACCATGAGGCTTGAGCAAGGAGATAGTACTTCTGCCTCGAGATACCCATGAGCGCACTAGGCATTCGTGTCTTTTTTTGGTCCCTCATACACCTTAATCCCAGCTGACACCTCCTTCCCACCCTGGTGTCCAAGAGTTGGGCTTGCAAAGGACAGTGTCTCACTGAAAGGAACCCAAGGCTGCCCCTGTCCGCTGCCACTAGAAGCAGGACCATGCCAAGGGGCACCAAGGTCACAAGCACATGCTCACCTTAAGCTCTCCCGCAGCCACCTTGAAGGCCAGCTCCAGCAGGCAGCCCACCGCCATGCGCACAGCACTGGAGGAGTGCATCTCATTCCACACAGTGTCGCTGTCCACCTGCAGGGCAGGAGAGCAGGCTTCAGCATGCCCCCTGCAGGGGGAGGGCAAGAACAGGGAAAGCACCTGGACAGTGGGCCAGCAGCCGTGGGAGGCAGGGAAGAGACAGCGCTGGGAGAGCTGCCCACCCACCCCCACTACTGCACGTCCTACTCACCCCGATGCCCCCACAAGGCAGCACGGCATACATCTTCTGGCTGATGGGGCCTGCAGGCAAGAGGGACAGAGCTATACTACAAGTGGCCTCGGGTGGATCATTTGAGGTCAGGAGCTCAAGACCATCCTGGCCAACATGGCGAAACCCATCTCTACTAAAAATACAAAAATTAGCCAGGCATGGTGGCACATGCCTATAAACCCAGCTACTTGGGAGGCGGAGGCAGGAGAATCACCTGAGCCTGGGAAACGGAGGTTGCAGTGAGCTGAGATCGAGCCACTGCACTCCAGCCTGGAGAACAGAGAAAGACTATCTCAAAAAAAAAAAAAAAAAAAGAAGTGGCCTCAGCTGCCAGGGCTACTACAGGCTTAGCCACTAAAAATGAGGGGTCAGACCCAAGTATAAAGCCTCTGCAGCCCACACCAGTGGGAGCTGTCAGTCCAGTTCTTGGGGACATCCTACCTCTAGGGTTGGAAGGTAGGCAGAGAGGAGCATGATAAGCCTGGAGGGGAGCAAAGCGGTACCCCCAGCCGAGCACCCCCGGATGGGGATCCTCCTGCACCACACCCGACACATGCTCTATGTTAATGGCGCCCTCTGGAGGTGTATGATGTGATAACTGTGCCACCTCTGCAGCAGTGATGCCCTGTGCCCAAGGGGACAACCCTCCTAGCCTGGCTCGGCGGTCCTCCTGACAGCCCCCATCTCACCCTGGCACTGGACATGCCCTGCCCGCCCACCCACGTGCCAGCTCACCAAGCAACTTCTTGCTGTCCAGCTTCTGCCGGTTGAGGGGGCTGGTCCCATAGAGCAGGGTGTGGTATTCAGAGTGCACTGCCTGGATCTCCTCTAACGTGGCTTTGCGACCCCGGATCCGCTGTCAGGAGGATCAGTCATAGGGGTCACAGAAAGGCGCAGCTCTCCCAGCCCCTCTCTGCCCAATAGCCAGGGGCACACAGAGCCACTTGCTGGCCTCAGGAGCTCCAAATATTTTTGAGAAAGTAGACCCTGGCTCCATCATGACCCTACTCCAGGATCCTCCCACAGTCAGCTGGGGACCATGCAGGAATATATGCTGCAAGGGATGGAATGGAAGGGGGTGGGGGGGGCAGAGAACTGGCCCTGAAGTGTGGGGGTGAAGAGAGGATGAGGAAGAGGCATGAAGAGAGGCTTCTCTAATGGGGAAACAAAGGCTGGATTTCAGTTGAGGGCCAGAGGAAGGAGGGGCTCCCTTACCTCGCACTTGCTAAGCAGGCCTGTCTCCTGCAGCCGGGACCAGATGCTCTGGATCCGGCCAGCATGTTCAGGGTGCACATGTGTGTTTCCGCACATGCACTGGTGCTTTAGCATGAACGTGTCGTAGACCACACCTGGGCCACAGACCCATTGTCAGCCAGCACTGCTCGGGGCCCAGGGTCCCAGCCTGGCTACCTCGGTCCTCAGCAGGGCTCATGGAGCTCTCTCCAACCCCCAGGTCCAAACTCCTCCCCATGGCCACCCTCCCACACAACTGCCCCCTCTCCGCTTGTTTGTTTTTCTCTTTGAAACAGGGTCTCGCTCTGTCAGCCAGGCTGGAGTGCAGCGGCGCTATTGGCTCACTGCAGCCTTAACCAGAGCCCTCCACCATCCTGTGCTCAAGCGTCCCCCCACCTCAGCGTTCTGAGTAGCTGGCACTACAGGCACGTGCTACCACACCTAGCTTTTTTTTTTTTTGAGACGGAGTTTCGCTCGTTACCCAGGCTGGAGTGCAATGGCATGATCTCGGCTCACCGCAACCTCTGCCTCCGGAGTTCAGGCAATTCTCCTCCCTCAGCCTCCTGAGTAGCTGGGACTACAGGCACGCGCCACCATGCCCAGCTAATTTTTTGTATTTTTAGTACAGACGGGGTTTCAACATGTCAACCAGGATGCTCTCAATCTCTTGACCTCATGATCCACCCGCCTCGGCCTCCCAAAGTACTGGGATTACAGGCATGAGCCACCGAGCCCGGCCTTTTTTTTTTTTTTTTTTTTTTTTTTTAAAGAGACAGGGTCTCACTATGTCACTCACACTGGTCTCAAACTCCTAGGCTCAAGTGATCCTCCCTCTTTGGCCTCCCAAAATGCTTGGATTGCAGGTGTGAGACACTGCAGCTGGCCTTTCCTCTCTAGCCTTTGGCCCCTCTCAACTCCTGAAATTCCTTTCCTCCATTATTGCCTGTCAGAAGCTTCCGTGCTCCTCAACTCCAGCAAGGCTGCCCTGGACACCCCACAGGTCCAATCTCTGCCAGCTGTACCCCTCAGCTGCACCCTTCTTCCTGTTTCCCCTCCTGCCAAACCCATGTCTTACTCCCCACTGGTGACATGGGACCGCCCTCAGGGATGTCTGTGTCCTCCCAGAGCCCAGCCTGTGGCAGCTTCATGGGGAAAAGGACTCTGGTCTCATCCCAGACCTCACAGGGAGAAGGAAGGGAAGGTCGAAGGGCAGGGCCCAATGGGGGCAGCAGGCTCTCTCTACCCAGCACTTCAGGCTATGGGGCAGTCCTTCCTTCCATGGGGTGAGAAAGATGCTGCCCAGTGGGCAGAGGTGGAGCTACCCACTCTCCCAGCTGAGGCAGAAAGCCCTGCCACTACCACGAACAGCTCTGGGATACAGGGAGGGAATGAAGGCCTGTGTCCCCACCTTTCAGGGTGCCTCAGGGGCTCCAGCAGCCTCTTCCCCCTGCCTACAGGCCAGACACCACCCACAGGCCCCGTGCCTAGACATAACTGGTGGTGGGGACTCACCTGTGGTGAACAGGTGTTTCACAGGCTGGTCTGGAGGGCTCTTCATGCCCCCAGGGGCAGCAGGGGAGGACTGCGTGCGGCCCAGGGCCTGGTGAGGCACAGTGGCCAGGCTGAGGGGTGCCTGGTACACCTGCAGTGGCTGCAGCTGTTGGGCATCTGAGAATAGCTGGAGGGGATGACAGTGGGAGCGGGCCTGGGTCAGACTCAGCCGGACAGGGGTGAGGGCAGGACCTCCAGGGGAGTCCCAATCCAGCACTTTTCTTCTAAGTCTTCTCCTTCCCCCACCTCCTCCCACTTGCTCCCTCCTGGGACAGGAGACATATCTCCTCTGAGACAGAGAGGGATGGGGGGGATGTGATGAGTCACATCAAAGAGTAGCATTGAGGTAAGAGGCTGAGAGGGGCGGGGGCGGGGTGAGTCAGGCCCAGAGGGCTCTGCTGTGTCCGCAATGAATGGAGTGCCAGCTAGGCTCGAGGTAGACTGTAGTAACAGCGGGGGCGTGTGTGTACACACGCGCACAGGCGCGCAGAGGGACCGACGCACAGCCGGCCCTACGCAGGCAAAAACGCAGATACACACAGGCCATGTGTGCACACACACACAGACACAAGCAGAGAGGCAGGCCAGTATCAGAGATGCAGGGAGGGAACTGGCAGCCTAGGACAGACACAGCTCTGAGGTCAACAGTAACAGCAGCTCCCCCTTCTCCCCGCTGGCCTCCTTCCCACTCCCCTTTTGCTCTCTATAGAATGCTGCTCCTGCAAGGCCTGGAAACTGCAGATGGGGAAAAGGGAAAGACAAGGGCAGAGGCAGCAGCAGGGAAGGACAGAGCGGTGGTGACTAAGGGCTGAGACCACGGACCAGGGACGGGGCTCACCTTTTTGTAACCAGCACTGGGCTCCTCCGAGTTGGGCCCCTCCTCAGCACCACTCTCACCCTCCTCGTCCTTGACCTGGATGCAATCCTCCTCCTCCCCATCCTCTTCCTCCTCCTCCTCCTCCTCCTCCAGGTCTTCCTGTGTGCTCTCACTCTCTGTGGAGCCCTCCCGGGGCATGGTCAGGGCTCCCTCCCCCAGCAAGGCCTCCTGCTGCTCCGTCAGCTCCTCCTCTGTTTCCTCAGGGTGGGTGGTGGGCTGCCTGGGCAGCTCCCCTGTTTTGGTGAGGATCTGGTAACAGAAATAGGTACATCAGCTGGGGGCAGCCTGTAACCCAGACCGATCTATCCTTCCCTCCCTCACTTCTTCCAGGCAGAGCTTCTACATGTGTTAGAAAAAGGCCAGGTGGCTCCTCTGAGAGGAGGGCTCTTTTTTTTTCTTCTTGAGACAGAGTCTCCCTCAGTTGCCCAGACGGGAATGCAGTAGTGCTATCTCAGCTCACTGCAACCTCTGCCTCCCAGGTTCAAGAGATTCTCCTGCCTCAGCCTCCCCAGTGGCTGGGATTATAGGTGCATGCCACCATGCCCAGCTAATTTTTGCTTTTTTTTTTTTTTTTTTTTGAGATGGAGTCTTGCTCTTGTTGCCCAGGCTGGAGTGCAATGGCGTGATCTCGGCTCACTGCAACCTCTGCCTCCTGGGTTGAAGCGATGCTCCTGCCTCAGCCTCCCAAGTAGCTGGGATTACAGGCACCTGTCACCACGCCCAGCTAATTTTTGTGTTTTTAGTAGAGAACGAAGTTTCACCATGTTGGCCAGGCTGGTCTCATACTCCTGATCCGCCCACCTGAGCCTCCCAAATTTCTGGGATTACAGGCGTGAGCAACTGCACCTGGCCTGAGGTGGACTTTTCTGCCAGCCTGGTGCTCACCTGTGTCCTGCCCCCAGCACAGCCCCAGGCCATTCACCTCTCTAGGCTCACCTTGCCCAGCTGCAGCTGCTGCTGCTTCTGCTTCTCCAGGAACTGCTGGTGCTGCTGTTGCATGACCAGCTGCTGCAGGGCCTGGGGACTCTGCGGCAGCGGTGAGGACTGAGTGCGGCTCAGGGGCCGATGCCGTGGGAGCTTGCCCACTGTCCGCATGCTGGTGGCCACACGTTCACCCGTCACTAGTGGGGACTGCCCGTGGAGTGGCACTATGGAGTTAGGGGTGACGACTAAGCACCATTGTCAGGGCACCTGAGTGCCCCCCAAGACCGCATCTTGCCCCCATATCCCCTCTGGAATATCACCACCTAAATAGTTAGGAAACACCCTGGGGGACCTGGAGCACCCTCCACCCAAACCTGAGCCCCATTCTTTCTCTTCGCCACGACTGAAGAGTTTCACAACTCTAAGGTACTGCCTCCAGAAAGCCTTCCTGGATTCACCGTCTTTTCCCTTTGATTTGCTTAATTGAATAAACTGAGTACAAATGTAGTCTGGAGCCCTGTTTGAGTGAACAATGACTTGTTCTCCCCAAGTGCAACAAGGCCTCCTTGATCGTGGACCCCCATGGATCCTGCCAGGCCAGAAAGCCCTGGGAGCCAGGATCATGTGTCTTTCAAGCAGAACCTCTTCTGATGCCAACAGGTACTTAAGGGCTGTCTAAAGCTGTGCTGTCCCGTCCCATGACTACTGGTTACACATGACTACAGAGCCCTTCAACACAGCCTATCTAAAGTGAAATGTGATGTGTGAAGTATACACTAGATTTCAAAGACTTAGTATGAAACACAAAAAGCAAAATATCTCACTGGTAACTGTATGTTGGCCAAGCACAGTGCAGTTTACACCCATAATCCCAGCACTTTGAGAGGCCAAGGCAGGAGGATGGCTTGAGCCCATGAGTTCAAGACCAACCTGGGCAGCCAGGCACAATGGCTCACATCTGTAATTCCAGCACTCTGGGAGGCCGAGTTGGATAAACTACCTGAGGTCAGGAGTTTGAGACCAGCCTGGCCAACATGGTGAAACCCTGTCTCTAATAAAAATACAAAAAATTAGCTGGGTGTGGTGACGCATGCCTGTAATCCCAGCTACATGGGAGGCTGAGGCAGGAGAATCACTTGAACCTGAGAGGCAGAGGTTGCAGTCAGCTGAGATCATGCCACTGCTTTCCAGCCTGGGCAAAAAGAGTGACACTTCGTCTCAAAAAAAAAAAAAAAAATTAGCTAGGTGTGGTGGCTGATGTCTGTAGTCCCAACTACTCAGGAGGCTGAAGCAAAAGAACTACTTGAACTCAGGAGGCGGGGGTTGCAGTGAGCCGAAATCCTGCCATTGCACTCCAGCGTGGTGACAGAATGAGACTCTGTCTCAAAAAAAACAAAACAAAGACCAGCCTGGGCAATATAGCAAGATCCTGTCTCTACAAAAAAAAAAATCTTAATTAAAAAATAAAAAGCTGCTGGGCGCGGTGGCCCACGCCTATAATTCCAACACTTTGGGAGACCAACGTGGGTGGATCACAAGGTCAGGAGTTCAAGACCAGCCTGAGCAACATAGTGAAACCCTGATTCTACCAAAAATACAAAAATTAGCCAGGCGTGGTGGTGCACGCCTGTAATTTCAGCTACTGGGGAGGCTGAGGCAGGAGAATCACTTGAACCCAGGAGGCAGAGGTTGCAGTGAACTGAGATCGCACCATTGCACTCCAGCCTGGGTGACAGAGCAAGACTCTGACTCAAAAATAAAAATAAAATAAAACCTCATGCTGAGCATGGTGGCTCACACCTATAATCCCAGCACTTTGGGAGGCCAAGGTAGGCAGATCACCCAAGGTCAGGAGTTTGAGACCAGCCTGGCCAACATGGTGAAACCCAGTCTCTACTAAAAATACAAACAATTAGCTGGTGTGGTGGCAGGCGCCTGTAATCCCAGCTACTCAGGAGGCTGAGGCAGTAGAATTACTTGAACCCAGAAGGTGGAGGCGGCAGTGAGCCGAGATTGTACTACTGCACTCCAGCCTGGGCAACTGAGTGAAACTCAGGAAAATAAATAAATAAATAAAAAAGATATGCACATGTATTACAGAAATGATAATATTCTGGATATACTGAGTTAAATATATGTCATAAAATTAATTCCACTTGCTTCTTTTTTTTTTTTTGGAGATGGAGTCCGGCTCTATCGCCCAGGCTGGAGTGCAATGACGCGATCTTGGCTCACTGCAACCTCCGCCTCCTGGGTTCAAGTGATTCTCCTGCCTCAGCCTCCTGAGTAGCTGGAATTATAGGAGCCCGCCACAGCACCCAGCTAACTTTTGTAATTTTAGTAGAGATGGGGTTTCACTATGTTGGCCAGGCTGGTCTCAAGCTCCTGACCTCAAGTGATCTACCTGCCTTGGCCTCCCAAAGTGCTGGGATCACAGATGTGAGCCACTACGTCCAGCTCCATTTGCTTCTTGTTACGTTTTCCAATGTGGCTGCTAGAAATTACATATGCAGGTTGTGTTATGTTTCTACTAAACAGCACCGCTCTGGGATGTGAACTCCAAGATGGCAGCAGATTTTGTCAAGAACAGTGCCTGACATCCCATAAGGTAGCCCATGTTTCTAGATTGTGGAAGAAATCCCTGCTGCTGTTGATGCTGCTGAGGGGAGCTGTGACAGCAGGGCTGCAGAGTTTCCCTGGCTGTTGGTCCTGACCTGAGCCCCTCCCTTGCACAGCTGCCTGCCCACTCACCAGCAATGAGGGTGCTCTGCTGCCGGGCCTGCTCCAGCAGTAGCACGTGCTGCAGCAGGGAGGCATGTCCATGGGGGCTCCCGTCGCCCTCCAGTGCCACGCCCAGCAGGCAGCCAGGGATAGAGGATGTGCTCATGAACTTGCCGGTCAGCATGCCACCCTGCCGCAGGGACTGGAGGGCCTGCCTCTCGGCCTCCTGCTGCGTTGACAGCTTCGGGGAGGCCTGGGGGGTGGAGGGAGGGGCTTATACAGCCTCAGTACTGCCAACTTTGGACCAGCATCCCCATCTACCCACTATCTACCCACCAGCTCTGGGTAGGGCCAAGCGATCTCCCTTACGGCTTTGGAAGAGCAAAAGCCCCAGCTGGGGGCATCCAGGACCTCTGACCTCAACACCGGAGGGAGGATAGGGTATGTGCCCTGTACTTACGGTGAGGTGCGAGTTGGTGACAGTGACTGTGGCCTGCAGCCCTAGGGAGATGTTAGGCAGAGAGGGAGATGTGTAGAGGCTGAACTGGTTGGGGGAGCTGTCCAGAGGGAGGGCTCGGTGCTGGGGGAGCATCTGGGAAGCAGTCAGAAGAGACAGGTATGAGAGTGAGCAAAGAGGAGGCGACAAGGGAGGGCAACCCGGGGCCAAAGCCAAAGTCTCTAAATGGTGCCCAGTTCCCTCTACCCTGAGCTCCCACTGAGGGAGACTGAGCCATCAGAGATCTTCACAGTCCTGTGGGACAAATCCCCCTTCAAGGCAATTAATTCCAAGCAAGGACTCTCCAGCCTATTCATGTGGGCAGAGAGGTCTCTGGTGGGCACTCAGCCAGACAGACTGGAAGATGCTGTACTCTGCCTTCCAAGGGAGGGAGAACAGCTCTGTCCCACCCCAACCAGCCCTCAACCAGGCCTGTACCTCGGTAGGGATGTTGGGGACTGAGCCAGTAAAGCCATTCTCAGCGATGGTGCTGTGGGAGCTGTTAGGAGAGCTGGGGCCGGAGCCTGGTGCGCTGTTACACACGGACGACGCTATAGGAGAAGTGGCTGTCACCTGGGCCTGCTCTGAACTAGCCCCTGCCCCGCTGATTCCCAGACCCTCAGAAAAGGTAACAGGAGAGCAACCCTTACCCCCAGGCCCAGCACCTGTGATCTCAACAGCTCTCTTCTTAAAGGTGCTAATAACAGTCCCATCCTTGCGACGCAGGAGGGGACTGCTTCTCCGCTCTGCCACCTTCTGTTTTAGCCTTGAACGAACTTTCAAGTTGGGTTCAGAGGCTGGAGAGAAGGTAACCGAGGTTCAGATACATGAAGAGAGCACATACCTGCAGCCCAGTCCACTGTGGTCAGGGCTGACCCTGTCACAAAGCTCACCCCTGCCTCCCAGGAGCCATATTCTGGGATGCCAGGTTGGGGACTCACTTACCTGTTTTGCGGAGGGGGAAGTCGTCTCGACTGTCGTAGGGCCCAGGCAAAGGCAGTTTGTAGGAGGGAGGCGTCCCAGGGGGGCCACTCTGGGGAGGGGAACTCTGGTCCAAAGAAGCATGGTGGGCTCCCCTGGAGGTGGGGTTGAGGATGAAAGCAGATCGAGGTCACCACCCAGCCTGCTGGACCTGCCACCTGGCAATCTCCACTTATGAAAAATCCTTTGTATACAGGAAGAGGACATGGATTTGGGGAAGGAATGAGGAAATAAACGGGGATGGGGGCATCCTATCTCCAAGGAGAGATTGCAGGGCCCGTATATGGGCACCGGGCAGAAGCCCCTTGCCATCCTGTAGCCAGGCAGCCCCTGAGCGGCTCACCTCTGCCCACCCATGCCTGCCCAGGGCCATTACCAGCATTTGGGGTGCTGTGGGAGGGAATGGTTGAGGCCGCCTGGTGTGGGCTCCTTTGACTTCGACAAGAGGAATTCCTGGAGCCTCAGCTTTACCTCGGTGCTGGCGATGGCACCTGCAGGACAGGGCACAACTGACCTGGCTGCTTGGGGCCAGACCCCCCACGGCAGGGGCAGGTGTCACGGGCGGGGCCTCAGGAGGTCCCAGGAGGCCACGCCTTACTCTCTTTGCTCTTCTCCTTGTTCCGCAGGATAAGCAGCTGTTGCTCCAGCCGCTGCTTTTCCAGCTCTTCCTGCCGCTGCTGCTCCCGCTGCCGCTGCTGCTCCAGCTCCTGCTGCCGCTTGGCTGCCAGCATCTCCTGCTGCTGTTTGGCTGCCAGCATCTCCTGCTGCTGCTACAGGGGCATGGGGAGGGAGGCAGGAGTGAGCCAGGCCCTGGCAGGGGTCGGGGGTCAGAGGTCAGGGCGGCCCCCCAGACCCCCCTCGCTCACCTTGAGGTGCTTCTGCAGCTGGACCTCATGCTGCCTTGTCAGGTGGTCATGCTGTTTCTGGAACTCAGCGAACAGGAGCTGCTTCTGCAGCTGCTGCTGCTGCTTGAGCGCCAGGAGCTCCTGCTGCAGTTGCTGCTCCCGCAGTGTGGGGTCCACAGAGCCCACCAGAGCCCCCCGTAGCTCCACAGGGCTGTGGCTGCCTCCACCCCCACCCCCCATGGAGCTGGGCATGGCTCCTGGCAGCACCGGCTTCACCTCCACTGCGGGCAGAAGAGACAGGAAGGAGTTAGCGGACCCAGCCCCAGACTGCAGCCATGCCTGGGGCCCAAAGGCTACTGGGTAGGATTCTAGGAGACCCAAAGAGAACAGAGATAGAGGGGAAGTCAAATCCCTCTGCTCCATGGATGCAACATTTGGCCTTAATTAAATGAGGCTAAAGCCATGAAATTCAATAGGAAAATATGGGCCGAGTGTGGTGGCTCACACCTGTAATTCCAGCACTTTGGAAAGCTGAGGCAGGTGGATCACTTGAGGCCAGGAGTTGGAGACCAGCCTGGCCAACATGGTGAAACCCCCTCTTCTAAAAATACAAAAATTAGCTGAGCGTGATGGTGCACACCTGTAATCCCAGCTACCCAGGTCACTGAGGCAGGAGAATCACTTTATACCCTGGGAGGCGGAGGCTGCAGTGAGCCAAGATCTGCAGCTGCACTCCAGCCCGGGCAACAGAGCAAGACTATCTCAAACAAAAAGAAAATATGCATAAGCATGAAGCTGTACCTGACAGATTTTGAGTACTAAACACATTTTATATATGTGTGTGTGTGTGTGTCTATCTACCTACATATATATTAGAGACAAGGTCTTGCTGTGTCACCCAGGCTGGAATGCAATGGCATGATCATGGCTCACGATAGCCTCGACCTCAAGCAACTCTCCTGCCTCAGCTTTCCAAGTAGCTGGGACTACAGGAGCACGCCAATGCACCAGGCTAATTTTTAAATCTTTAGTAGAGACAGGGTCTCACTATGTTGCCCAGGCTGGCCTTTAACCCCTAGGCTCAAGTGATCCTCCCACCTCAGCCTCCCAAAGTGCTAGGAGTATAGATGTGAGCCACTGCCCAGCCTTCAACACATAATATTGTCATTGATAATCAACACACCTCTGGGCATTTTATAAGAATGACTCATTTAAATGTCATGGTCAGGTAGAACTTGGGTACTATTATCACCCCATTTTCCTGATGAGGAAACTGAGGTTTAGAGAAGTTTAAGTAGCAACCAAACACAGCCAGGCAATCAAAGAACCAGAATGTGAGTGCAAATCCTAAGCTTTTAACCACTGTCCTGTGCCCACTCCCATTTCTCAACACCATGCTCCATGCAAAGCCTCATACTAGAAGAGAAACTGAGGCACAGAGGTTGGTTCTAGAACTGATGGGGCCCTTGGTAACTTTAGGAGAGGCTGGTGGAGACCTTCTGGATATTCCTTTTCTCTGTCCCATTCTGGGGCCTCATCCCTGTCTGGGGCAGGAGGGAGAGGCTGTGGGAATGGGGGTGGGGTGGGAACAGAAGGCCTTGGGGAAAGGGAGTGCAGGGCTGCACCAAGCCCAAGACAGGAGGGAGCTGGGAGTCAGACTCGCTTCCTTTGCTGGATTATCTCCTTTCAACAGTTTTATTGTAATTACCCTGAAAATGCCACTATATATAGAGTGAGCCAAACAGCAGCTGTGCCTGGGGGGAGGGGGAATGAGAGGATGGGCGGGCGGGCAGCAGGGAGGAGGTGGGAGGAGGAGACAGGAAAGGAAAGGGAATCAGACAGGAAGAAGGGTAAGGGCAGGGAGAGGGTGGGAGCTTCGGCAGAGATCTCAGAACTCTCGTCCTAGGGAGGACCGTCTGGGGAGACTGCCAGGGAGGGAAAGGCAGTGGAGGGAGGGCCTGCTGGGTTCCCAGACCTTGGATCCAGGCCCCACGTGGACAATGGACCGAGCGGCTCAGGGAGTGCACGAGGTTCCAATGGGCTTATGGGAAGGCCGGGTCTCCACCTCTTTGTCCCTACACAAGGTCTTCTGGTCACTGCATGTCACTCCCCACCACTGCCCTGTGGTTGTCAAGACAACTGGGCAAACACCACACCAGCAGGGAGCCCCAAGCCCAGCCCATGCCCCACAAAGCCTCCAGCCAGGAAGGGGAAGGCAGGATACCTCACTGCCTCGGAAGGCGGAAGTGAGAGAGGCAGGGCCAACCCATTCCTGTTTCTCTTCTACTTCTTTCTCCAAAGAAAGCCCTCACTCTCCTGGATACAGCCCAGGGAGGTCACGAGGGGCTGAGAAGGCCCTCCTGTGGCAAAGTGGCCCACTCCGGCCCAGGGCTGGGCAGAAAGGACTCCAATATTCTGGCTACGAGTGCTTCTGCCTTCATGAGCTGGCCTCTCTCCAGGCCACCCCCCAGCATTAAGAGGAGAGAGAGAAAAAAAACAAGTTGGTTTTTTTTCTGAGAGTCTTACTACAACCTCCACGGCCTGGGTTTAAGCGATTCTCCTGCCTCAGACTCCCAAGTGGCTGGGATTATAGATGTGCACCCCCAGGCCCAGCTAATTTCTGTATTTTTAGTAGAAGCAGGGTTTCACCATGTTGGTGAGGCTGGTCTTGAACTCCTGACCATAGGTGATCCACGTGCCTCGGCCTCCCAAAGTGCTGGGATTATAGCCCATCGCACCGGCTGAAAATTTTTCAGAGAAGAGAGGAAAGTGGGAGGTGGGAGGTGGCAAAGGGTGGGCTAAGAGAGGCCCCCACACCTGTGTAGGTGGATCTGGATATCTCTCCAGAGAACCTAGCACTGAATGAGTGTCACCAAAGCAGGAGCAAGACCTGCTGGAGGCCAAGGCCATGCCGCCGGCATGCCACTGCAGCCGCAGCGATGTCAGGCCTGGAGCTACAGTTGGAGCCACAGCCCTATTGGTATGCAGGTGGCAGGGTGGGCAGAGGGCTCTGCCATGCAGCCTTGTTCCTATGCGAATTGGAAGCACAGGCGACTCCAGAATATTACTTTGCAGGGCCTGGGTGGCATGCAGCACGCCTGGAGTATGACCTCTGGAACCCCCTGCAGGTAGGGTGGGGTGGGAGACAGTAAAGGCTAAGCACGATGTCTGTGCGATGTCGCAGTCCCCACCAGCCAGCCTCTTCTCCCCTAAGCATGATTGGGAACATTCCTCTGTGGTTTGCCCGCCAGCCATACTGACGACTCTGTGGCCACAAGGCCAGAGCCACATGTGCAGAAGTGGCCAGATGTGGCCAGAGGGTGGGGTTACACATACTCACTCACCCTCCTTCCCAACCCATGTCCTGCCCCAGCACCAGGAGGAAGGGTCCTTGGAAACTGCAGAAGGCCTTCCTGGAGGTAGCCAGCCACGGTCCACGATGGTGGCAAGGAAATGGCAGCCAGCTCAGGACTCCCCAGCCCGTGAAGTACTCAGCAAGGCCCTGAGCTGGCCGGACGATTATCTGTTCTTAGGCAAGGCTGGCTTGGCCCGTGGAATTCTGATCACTAAGCCAAGCAGTGGACGGGCTTCAACCTGCTGCTCCCGGCAACAGCAGGGTTGCAGGAGCCGGATGCCAGCCCGCCCGCCCAGGGAAGGGCAGGGGTCCAAGCACTCCCAGCTCCCAGCAGATAACCCTGCCTCAGGCTGGAACTGCTGCCAGCAGTACTGGCTTCCCTTGTAGGAGCCCTGCAGAGAGCACATGGGCTCAGGAAGGGGAATCTCCCACCAGACTGTCACTGCCACTGCAGCCGCAGCGATGTCAGGCCTGGAGCTACAGTGGGAGCCACAGCCCTATTGGTATGCAGGTGGCAGGGTGGGCAGAGGGCTCTGCCATGCAGCCTTGTTCCTATGTGAATTGGAAGCACAGGCGACTCCAGAATATTACTTTGCAGGGCCTGGGTGGCATGCAGCACCCTGGGGGTTTGCCAGGTGGCAACCTGTCCACCCAAAGTTGAAGGGGCCATGGCTGCTCGGCCTAAATCAAGGAAAGGAGGGGCATGGAGCCCCATGAGTAGATCTGCAAGGCACAGACCCTGGAGCTTGGCTAGGCTTGCACTCTCTCAACGATCTGTCTCCTCTGCCAGCCCAGCATGAGCAGAGCAGGTGGCAGCAGCTGCCATCAGCACCAAGCACCTGGAAGGGGAACTGGGTGTGTCATGATAGGAAGAGGCTCTTGGCCACCTCCTGGTGGACCAAAGGTGGCTGGAGACCCTCTGGGAAAAGAAGAGGGTAGATGGGCCAGGCGTGGTGGCTCACGCCTGTAATCCCAGCACTTTGGGAGGCTGAGCCAGGAGGATCACCTGAGGTAGGAGTTCAAGACCAGTTTGGCCAAGAAGGCAAAACCCCATCTCTACCAAAAAATATAAAAATTGGCCCAGCGCGGTGGCTCAACACCTGTAATCCCAGCACTTTGGAAGGCCAAGGCGGGCGGATTACTAGGTCAGGAGATCGAGACCACCCTGGCCAATATAGTGAAACTCCGTCTCTACTAAAAGTATAAAAATTAGCTGGACGTAGAGGCAGGAGACTTGTTTGAACCCAGGAGGCAGAGGTTGCAGTGATCTGAGATTGAGCCACTGCACTCCAGCCTGGTGACAGAGCAAGACTCCATCTCAAAAAAAAAAAAAAAAAAAGCCGGGTGTGGTATCGAGCACTTGTAATCACTAAAAAATACAAAAATTAACTGGGCATGGCAGCGGGTACTTGCAATCTCAGCTATTCAGGAGGCTGAGGCAGGGAGAATTGCTTGAACCTGGGAGGTGGAGGTTGCAGTAAGCCTAGACCATGCCACTGCACTCTAGCCTGGGTGACAGAGCGAGACTCCATCTCAAGAAAAAAAAAAAGAGGGCAGCCAAAGGGACAATGTTTCCTAAGAGGATAGGTCAGGAGCTCTAGCTAGCAAAGAGCCCCACTGAAAGGCTGGTTGGGGGCGGGTGCGGTGGCTCACGCCTGTAATCCCAGTACTTTGGAAGGCTGAGGCTGGCGGATCACCTGAGGTTGGGAGTTCGAGACCAACATGACCAACATGGAGAAACTCCATCTCTAATAAAAATACAAAATTGGGCCGGGCACAGTGGCTCACGCCTGTAATCCCAGCACTTTGGAAGGCCAAGGTGGGTGGATCACGAGGTCAAGAGATCGAGACCATCCTGGTCAACATGGTGAAACCCCGTCTCTACTAAAAATACAAAAAATTAGCTGGGCATGGTGGCGCGCACCT